AGGGTAAACAAAGGAGGAGGTTGCAATGCTTGATAAGAAATGTACTCATTATCTTGCCCATGTAATTGTAACCCCTCTGTACAGTATGTTCACAAAAAATAAAAAAAAATTTAAAAAAAGAATGAAAAAAAAAAAGAAATTGAGTCGGCAGTACTTGGCAACTTCCTTATAGTGGTTCAGAAGTAAAAAAAAAAAAAGATACTAAATGTTGTCTGAAACCTACAGAATACATCAGTTCATTTGGTGTTCCTGTGCACATTCTTTTTTCTTTCAACTTTTTGGGCAGTATTGAGAGTTGAACCTGGGGCCTGGTACTTGCTAAGCACATGCTCTACCACTGGAGCCAATATGGAATCCCTTTTTTTGTGTTGGACATTTTCTATTTTATTCTTGAGTTAATAGACATTATATTTTGATCCTCTTCAGCCCTCAGAATTGTATCTTTTCCTGTCCTAGAAAGTCACTGTTTTGCATTCATGTCCTATTTGTGTTGTGTTATGCACATGCTGGCTTGTACTGTGATCCTCTTATTCATGCTTCTCCGGAATGCTTAGAACTCTCCAGGAGGGAGACAGCAATTGGGTGAACTTTGGCAACTGGACCAGCAGCAAGGACAGCATCTGGGAATATTTCCTGCCTGGTGCTTAACCATATAAGGGTGCCATCAGTCACAGTGGGCAAGAAATGTTGCCCTTTTCCCTGGCCAGAGGTGAGGGTGGGGTTGGGACCAACATTCCTCCACACGAATAGTAGTGGGATGGGAGCTGACACCTCTGCTTGTGGGTGGGGCTGACACTACTTCCTGCTGTGGAAGGGATGGAGCTAACAGTTATCCTCATGCTCATATTGAGGTTGTCATTCCTAATGTGTATGGCTACAGATTCAGGTCCTCATCCTCTGCTCTTCCTCATAGGTAAACTTGGAGTGTGATATTTCTCCCCACAGGTAGGGAAGGGGCTGATACACTGTCTCTTGTGTTTGGGCACAGCCTCTTGGCCATCATCTAGTGTTTCAGTCCCTCCTGCTGTGTGGCCTCAAATGCTCACCCACTCTCCTATATTCTCCCTCTCCCAGCAGGGTGCATGGGTTGAGTTGGGGCTGATGCTGCTGTCCATAGTGGGGGTATTGATGCTTATCCTTAAGGACTAGGTGGGGGCTGAGGTTCCTTTCCAGAGATGGATGGGGGGGGGATTGAAGCTTCTCTCTATGGATGAAGTAATGATGCTTCTACCTATGGGTTGGGTGGGGCTCACACTCCTCCCCTTGGGCAGTTCCTCCCAATATATTGGGTGGGGTTGACTATCCTCACTGTGGGTGGGACAGTCTAACATTATTAACAAGGGTGGAGGTGAAGCTCCTCCCACTGGATGTAGGAGGCTGAAGCTCCTCCCCCTTCACGTAACAGATCTAGGCTCCTCCCCTGGACGTCAGTGGGCTGACGCTCCTCTCCCTGCACGTAAGGGAGCTAAGCTCCTCCCTCTTCCACGCACAACGGTTGGGGACAGTGCCCAAGCCCAGAGTTCAAGCTCCATGACAGACAAAAAAAAAA